AAATTCATAGCTATAGAGACAATCTCTTACAGGCCCTTATAGAGGAGCGCAAGAGAATGATGAAAGAAGAAGAAGCAGAGGAGTTGGTAGAGAAAGAGAGGAACAATAAAACAATGATTGAAGCATTATTATCGCTCCAAAAAATCCATCCCAACCAATACGATGATTGTTTCATCAAGTCGCTTGTCACGGTATTTTAATTCAAAAACTTTCTATATTCCTCCTCCTCCTCCTTAATTAACATTATCTTCAACTCTCTGCAGACATTGCTATCGGCGGGAACAGATACTTCCTCAAATACCATAGAATGGGCAATGTCTCTTCTACTAAACAATCCCGACATACTCGAGAAGGCTGTTGAAGAAATTGATGAAAAAGTAGAGCATGGTCATCTTATTGAAGAATCAGATCTCGCCAAGCTTCCGTATCTCCACTGCATCATCAACGAGACACTTCGATTGTATCCTGTAGGTCCTCTGCTTGTGCCTCACGAATCATTGGAAGAATGTAAGGTGGGAGGTTATAATATACCAAAAGGAACGATGCTTTTGGTGAATGCTTATATGATTCAGAGGGATCCGACAATATGGCCGGAGCCAACTAAGTTTCTTCCAGAAAGATTTCTTCATAACAACAAAGTGGAAGGAGGGAAGATGATTCCTTTTGGAATGGGGAGAAGAAGATGTCCGGGTGAAGGACTTGCCTTGAAAGAGGTAGGCTTAGTTTTGGGAACTTTGATTCAGTGCTTTGAGTGGAGAAGAATTGGATTGGAAGAGGTGGACATGAAGGAAGGCTCTGGCCTTACAATGCCGAAAGCCTGTCCTTTGGAAGCAATGTGCAGGCCACGCCAAACCATGGTTTCTACTTTATCTCAACTGTAAAATAGTCAAATGAATTTATCTATCATTTAAAAGGATGGTGAAAATAAATGGGTGATTTGGGGTATTGGCGATGGCTGAAATTAAGTTTAGAGATCCTGCATTTTCTTTTTCTCCGGCGTAGCCTTGGAAAAAAAACTTTGCTTTTGAATTTTAATAAAAGGAGTTCTGTAACTTTTATTGAACATCCATTCTGTCAAAAGCTTTTATGAATTTAAATTATCCACTCAGAAATTTAAGAGGTAATTTTCTTAAATTTAGTTTAATTATAGTATGATGTTTTAAGGAAAATCTTAGAGTTATTTGAGTAGAATTAAATATATATGTAAGATATTATTCTTTTGTGTTTCATTTGAGATTTAAATGTACTATGCCATCGATAAATTTATTATTTGTCCTGAATTTCGACATATGACAATAATCTCAAGATAATCTTTTGAGTAATAAATATTCAAATTTCGATTGAAAATTATTTAGAACTCTGATTTTAACAAACATTCAATTAAACCGACTGACTCGACGAGACAGACCTAAAGAGGCCAAAATTGATCAAATATGAATCAAATCAAGCGCAGATCAAGTTATTAAGCAACATTTAAAACTATTCAGAGTTTAATCGGAAGGCCAAGCAGATTCTAAATCTGACAAACTTATGGTCAAATTGATCGTCTCGACAAGATGAATCCAACGAGCCAAAGATCTCTCAATTCTAATATCATTAAGTCACTCACATATCCATGGAACGTCCAATCCAGGGAACCGTAACGAGTCTTTCGATTAGAGTGGTTCAGATTTCTTTCTTAATTGCGACCTGAACTCTATAAATGGAGCCTTAAACGCCTCTTGAGAGAGGGGCTAGACCTCGATTGAGAAGAACAATGAAACTTGGAGAATGTGCTAAAGTGGAACATCGTTTCAGCACTAAGGATCCTATGGATTTCTCCCATTCCTATAGCCACCAACTACTATTGAACACCGCCTGTCGACCACTGTCTACCATTGTCCACCAGCCTGTCCCATCATTGACCATAAGTGGCCACATGCTCTTTGCAATAAAGTCCCTTGTAGAATCAGAACGTGCATTCATAATCCCAACATACATTGCAAAACAATGAAGTGCCCGACTAAGTAATAAGTCGTACAATACACCGTGCAACGACGCATCCAAAAGATGGTGTAACAACGCACCTCAAATACAGTGCAATGATAAACCCAATTGATGGTGTAACAATGCAGGCCACATATGATGCAATGGCGCACTCTAGAGACGGTATAAGAACACACCTTGAATACGGTGCAACAACACACCCTGGAGACAACATAACAAAACACATTGAATATGGTGCAAAGACGCACTCTGCTTATAATGCAACGACACCCAACTCAACCTTAGTTAACAACTACTCATTATACAATGACCTTCTTTAAACCATTGAAGTTCTCTCCTCACATCTAACTATTATGGTAAATGTGAGCAACTACAACCTATGTAGTCCGCTGCTCGTGCAACTCCCAACTGCAATATCTACGACCTACAAATGTTATAATAGCTTACGCCTCATTCGGCTCCAACTCCAGCCCCAATGGCCTAAAGATTGCATCTCAGCTCATTATTATAGACCATGTGACCAACTACAAGCTACATAGCTCACAGTTATTGTGCCTCTTAACTGGGGTTCATGCATCTTACGAATGTTATCACACTCACTGCTACGTCCTACATGACCAACAATAACCTATGTGGTCTCTATCCCATGTGGGTCCCGCTTTGGCCTTTACGGCCTACGGACTTCATCACGATTTACCTCTACAACTTATGTGTCTCGTTACTCCCATGATTTCATACTACGACCTGCATGGGTAACTAATGATCCCGAAGCAACTATCCATGTCATTTATAGCCAACTACTTCCATGACATTCAACTACAGTATCTACAACAAGTGTCACTGCATGCATCATCTACAAAATTCATGGTAGGCTACTGCCTTCATTGCAATCGACTACGGCCTTTGCAACACATTATAGCTATTATTGTTGAACTATCACTATATATCCAATTTTGTAGCTCCATCTTTCCTACTTTTGGAGAAGAGTGGACACATTAACTAACAATATAGCTGATTATTTTAAATGGGTTAGACCCCATGATTTTGTTTTTTGTTTTTCAAAGTTTTCCAAGTAAAAATTTTCGGCGCCTTCTCGTATTTACTTCTCTTTAATTCATTGAGTGTATGTTGGATTTTGTGAAATGTTATTATGTTAAATTTATTACTCTACTGTCACAAACCTTCCAACACACATTAATTTGGCACCATCTGTGCGATTCAAAATCTTGTTGGACACTGTCTTAAGAAGTTAGAAGTCGGCTCTACTTCATTTCCTAATGATACAAATTATCCAACTTGTGAAGGAACCTCTTTTGTAACTCTTGAAGGATCATTCTTCAAAGCGTGGAGTAATATTTTCTAATGTTTTTTCAAGTTTAGGGGGTCCGGGCACGACTGTGATAGGGTAGTCATCTCATTCTTCATTCGGACATCAATTATTTAAGAATTGCTTCCAGACTGGGAGCAACTTCACAAGTAATGCTTCCTTGTTGCTTACCCTCACCATTTTGGAGTTCTTCCTCAATTAGATCAAGAAGTTGATCTCTTCAAGGTTCAATACATGGGCTGTCTCATAAGCTTGTTTGAAAACAACTCCATTGGGGGATAACTAAATTCAAAAACAACTAACAAGTTTCAAAATATTATTCTTAAGTATGACTGAAATAATATTTCTAAGAAAATGTGTGATCAATTTCAACCTACACTCCAATCTTGATAAATGAAGAATATTTTATGACACCTCATTATGGGCATAACCGGCCCCAAGAGAACTCGATTATACCTCTTCCATCATAGGCTATAATCATCAAATAAAAGCTTTGGTGGATTCTTTTTGACTTCTTTTATTATAAGCTACAATCGACGGATTGAGAGTCGTTTTGCTACTTTCCCGGTTGTGCGAACCACGTCCCTGTTGGGCATTTGCTGCATACCCTCCTTTGAGAGGGAAGAGTTGTGCATGCGGCACTTTTTCTCTTTTACAATAATGTTGATAGGTTCTTATTATTTAACTGATTGACCTATCTTCGGTTAGTTGGCGATCCTAAAACGATTAGTATCATGTGTCCTTGAAGTTTCCCGTCAAATTATTCAATTTCGCATTTTCCTTCTAAATTGTTTATCACTTTGAAATTCTTGCTGACTATTTTACTGTTTACAAATTTTAAGTTAAAATTGTATTTTTAGCCATCTAATCAAAAAAAAAAAAAATCAATCAATATTAGATTCATTAAATTATTTTGATTCACCAATTCTTTGGTTCGACTCTAATTTTAATTGTTGATTCTAGGCAAAAGAGGTTTGGAACCTGCACCAAACTGATCGAATGACCCGTTAAAGATTGAACTGATCTAATTTCTAAAACCATGATTCCGCTAACAGTTCTTACCATGATAGAAATAAGTTCGCTATCGTTCGATCGTCATCATCCAAGCATCATCACGTGAATGTCATCTCCAACAAATATCACCTAATTGTCATCATCAACAACCACAATCTGATCACAAGCATTCGATCATTTTAGCCCAATCGTCACCGCCTAATCATTATCATTAGACAACTATCCCTCGACTATTAACTATATCTCCCATTACTTTAGCTTTAACAACTATAAAAGATCAACTCTGGGTACATCATTTTGTAATCTTATCTTCTCCAAATAAAAATAAGATCTAATTTTTATAATCTCAAGATTCTCAGCCAAGGTGGCAAATTGTTTCTCCTATTTTTTAAGATTTCTTTCAGATAAAAATTCTGACAACTCATATACTTTATTTCATTTGCTGCAATTCGACCATAAAACTAAGTAGCAGATCGAATCTCACCCATGCGCACATCTATTCGATAGCCAGCGCATCATCTGAGCCAAAGTTATTGCTCTCAGCAGCCAATAATTGAGCAATAAAAATTCTATATTTGTACAAGTTTTCTGAATTTAGAGTCCAAGAATCATTCAAATCCCCACCATTGAGCAATTATTAAGCTTCCCTGTCTCCCCCACTCCAACTTCGGCCATGGAGGACATCTCCGTCTTCTCCTGCTTAGTTCTCCTCCTTTCCTTCCTCCTAACCAAATTCGTACTAAACAACATCAATAACAGGAGGAAGAATCTCCCTCCAAGCCCACCTAACTCGCTTCCCATCCTCGGCCACCTCTACCTCCTCAAGAAGCCACTACACCAATCCCCTGCCCACCAACCCCTCGCCCGTCCCGCATCCCTCCACGGCCCGATTCTCCTCGTCCGCTTCGGAATACGACCCGTCCTCGTCATCTCCTCTGCCTCCCTTGCTGACGAATGTTTCACCACAAACGACATCTCCTTTGCGAACCGCCCCAAATTGCCCTCTGCCAGCCTCACCACCTACAACTACACCAGCTTTGAATCCACATCGTATGGCTCGCAATGGCGCGATATGCGCCGCATAGCCAACACTGAAGTCCTTTCGTGCCATCGTCTCGCTTTCTTCTCGGATGTTCGGGCTGACGAAGCCCGAGCACTAGCTCGTCAACTCTTTCATGATTCCACTCATGAGGACTTCACGAGGGTGGAACTTAGGCCACGACTTTCTGGTCTAGCCATGAATGTGATCATGAAGATGGCGGTCGGGAAGAGATACTACGGGAAAGAATCCATGGACGACGGGGCACGACGGTTCAAGGAGTTAGTAGAAGACTCTTTCGCCCTCGACGGCGCTTCTAATGTTGGTGATTTCCTTCCTTCTGTGATCGGATGGTTTGCACGGCGAAGAGTGCAGAGTAGAAGAGCACAAATTCATGGCTACAGAGACAACTTTATACAAGCCCTTGTAGAGGAGCAGAGGAGGATGATGAAAGAAGAAGTGGGAGAGTTGGCAGGGAAAAAGAGAAGCAATAAAACAATGATAGAAACCATATTATTGCTCCAAAGAACCAATCCCGAACAATACAATGATCGTTTTATCAAGTCGCTTGTTACAGTATTTTGATTGATACTTAAGCTTTCTGACCAATTTTCTCTTTAGCTTCTTCTTAATTAAAACAATCTTCATCTCTGTTTTGTAGACTTTGGTATCAGCGGGAATAGACACTTCCTCAAATACAATTGAATGGGCAATGTCTCTTCTTCTAAACAATCCCGAGAAACTCGAGAAAGCTAGTAAGGAAATCAATGAGAAAGTAGAGAATGATCATCTTATAGAAGAATCAGATCTCGTCAAGCTTCCATATCTCCATTGCATCATCAATGAGACGCTTCGAATGTATCCTGTTGGTCCTCTTCTTGCACCTCATGAATCATTGGAAGAATGTAAGGTGGGAGGCTATAATATACCAAAGGGAATGATGCTTTTGGTGAATGCTTATATGATTCAGAGGGATCCAACAATATGGCCGGAGCCAACTAAGTTTCTTCCAGAAAGATTTCTTCAGAGCAATAAAGTGGATGGAGGGAAGATGATTCCTTTTGGAATGGGAAGAAGAAGATGTCCGGGGGAAGGACTTGCCATGAAAGAAATGGGCTTGGTTTTGGGTACTTTGATTCAGTGTTTTGAGTGGAGAAGAATTGGATTGAAAGACATGGACATGAAGGAAGGGTCGGGCCTCATAATGTCAAAAGCCAATCCTCTAGAGGCAATGTGTAGACCACGCAAATCCATGATTTCTACCTTATCTCAACTATAAAATACTTGAATGTATTTATTTATCATATGAAGATAGCGACTTCTTTAAGAAGATGATTAAAATAAATGTGTGGTTGGCTGCATTGGAGATGATTTCGGGTGTGTTGGGGGGGGATTATTATTTTCTGTTTCATCTTAGTTTTAAATCAATATAAAACTTAAACCTAGGTGGCCAGACAGAGCTACAATGGCACTTGAGCTAGTAGTCGGCCGACAAGTGCAGAAAATACATGCAGAGCTGCGTGCGAAGACCAATCTAAAAAACTAGTAATTACTATTATTTTATTCTCAAATTTTTCTATGAAACAACACTACCCGACCCAGCCCGCCTTAGGCTGTTGGCACGAAAAATATCTTTGAAAACAACGTGCCAAAAAATTTGAAAACAAATATAGAGAAGTTGTACAAATTTTAAGGTTTATGATTGAAATAATTTTTTGTTGCGAAGATGATGTTCTCGTTGCAGAAATTCAAAAAAAAATATTGAGGATGTAGAACAAGAAGAGTGCTAACTCGATCAACTGGGAGGACATATATGATTCTCTCTCTGATGATGATGTGATAGAATTGTGCGCATTGGTAGGTTTCAAACACAATTTCGTTTATATGGATATATTGTAAGCCCTATTTTTTTTGTTTGGAGTGGTCTGCTGCATGTAGCCCTAATATTCCAATGAGACCATGTTGTTCTTGTTGTAATACATATCTTGATTGGGTATTGACGAAATGCATAAATAAAACCATACTTTTACTTGTTGTAATACATATCTTGATTGTATTTATTGTACTTAAATATTTGAAAGGCATAAGATGAAATAACTAGAAAGCAAAGAAGATTATTTGGTAATGTCTATTGAGTTTTTTGTAAATATTGACTAGTTCTTTTAAAACTGATTTTGTACTTGAGATAAAAAAAAATGTTGTATTGTTTAGACTTGTGGTGAGAAACTATATTAGTACAGCAGATACAACGCGGTTGTACAAAAGGGAAGGCTGCACGGTCGAGTTTAGTAAAAATTTTGAATAAAAAATTAAATATTCTAAGTAGAAAGATTGAATTATTATCATTTTTGTTTTTTTTCTCGAGCATGTGATTGGTTGATTTATTCCTTGTACAATCATGTTGTTTTGTTATACTAATTTATCTCAGGATAATCGATGCGATACGGTTATACTGACAGTTCTACTAAAGGGAATGTTAAGTGATTGAAGTTGAAAAATCTTCTAAATAAAAAATTAAACATTGTTGTGACAAAGCTCGAAAGCTTTAATTTTTACTTGTCGCAGATCATGTCGCATCGAGGAGAAGAGACTTTTTAGATGTACGATATTCTTTATTTGTCATACTCATTTTTATTTGTGACTTGTGTTAGGGAATTCTATAATTACAATTGATACAACACTTTTATATTGAAGTGAAAGCTACATAGTTGAGTTTGAAAAAAAAATCTAAATAAAATGCATGAAAGTTTAACTTTTGTTCTTGGAGTATGTGATTAGCTGATTTTTCTCTTTTACAATAATGTTGTATCGATTCTATTGATATATTTTTTAGAGTTGTGTTGAAACTATATATGTATAACCGATACAACACACTTCTTCTGAAGAAAATAAAGCTTCTTGAATTTTTTAATTTTAATTTTCATTGAGCACGCAATTGGCCAATTCAACCTTGATACAACCATGTTTTATTGGTTGCACCGATATTTTTCTCTCAAATTTGTAGGACCCTGTGTCAGAACCGGCAAGTAATGATGCAAACCATAAGAATTATGAACTAATCATAGTAAATTTATCTGACAATGTTGTTCACAACGAGGAGGCCTATGATCTGAATTGTAGTTATGCCCGCTCTTATGGATTTAGTGTAAGGAAGGATCATGTGTTTTACTTATCAAGTACAAGGATTATAAAATCAAAGGATCTTGTATGCTCAGGGGTTGGTTTTAAGAGAGAACCTAATCTAAACGCCGCGATGAAGTTCCAAAAATCAGATACTATGACTGATTGTCTTGCAATGATTAGATTTGTCATTGATCATGAAGGTAATTAGACTGTGACTAAACTTATAGTTAACCGCAACCATTCATTAACCATGTTCATTAATCAACATCTATTGAGATCACATCGGGGAATCAGCAAAGAGAAAGTAGTTGCGTTGCAATCGATAGCACAAGCAGGAATTAGAGTTATTAATGCATCCAAGTATCTTGCTGAGGATGCATGGCAAGGTTAACTGTGACTGCTTTGTAGATGTCTTCGTTTCTTATACAAGTTATTGACTTAATAAGTATAATTTAGTTTGTGGCCCTTTTGTGTGAGTTAATCATCATTAGCAAAATATTTTATTTGGAGTTGTCTTTTCATGAAAAGAGAAAATTAAGTCATTCACTTGACTATTCAAATTTTTTTATTTTCACAAAGGGTGATAAGTTTCCTTTAGCATTATTCAACCTTTATCATTATTCACTGATAAAGTATGATAAGCATCCTTTAGCATTATTCACTGATAAAGACCAACCAAAGACAAAAACCATAATTCATCACAGACAACAAAAAATGTTAAAGGCTGGCATTTTATTACAATTTAACAAATACACTGTTGAAAAAAGAAAACAAAAATAGTAATTGAGGAGGTTTAATTTAGAATAAAATGCAAAGGAAACCAATGGTTGTACATAATACAATAAAGCCAGAGAAAAAAATATTCGATACAATCATGTACAACATGGTTATAGTAAGCAAAAAAAATAGCTTGACAAGAACTTCAAAGGTAGAACCAAGTACAACATGGTTGTACAGAAGCAAAAAAGAAAACATGACAATAAAAATTAATACTTCTGCATAAATCATTGTGCTTTCAAATCAATGTTTATATAAAATGCAAATGAAATTCATGTTTATACATAATAAAATAAAACAAGAGTGAAAAACACTCGGCACAACCATGTACCGAACAAAAGAAGAATCGGACAAAAAAATCACTGGTGCAATTATGCACAAATTGGTTGTAAAGACGATAAGAAAAAAACAAAGTATAAAATTCGTTACTTATGCTAAATCATTGTGTTTACAAATCGAAAAATCAACGAAATACAAACAAAATTCATGTTTGTACATAGCACAATAACAACAGAAAAAAATACACAGTACAACCATATAAAACATTATTGTACCAAAGATGAAAATAAATAGACAAAAATTTCAAAGGTGCAACCAAATACAACATGCTTATTCATAGGAATAAAAGAAAAATTGGACATAAAAAATTGAGATACTTTTGCATAAATCGTGTTGTTTTCAATTCAACGCATATATAAAAGGCCGACAAAATTCATGGTTGTACAAAATAAAATAAAACTAGAATGAAACTAGAATGAAAAATACTCGGTACGACCATGTGGAACATGTTGGTACCGAACGAATGAAGAACTCGAGAAAAATCTCAAAGGTACGACTATGTACAATATGGTTGTGCATAAGAAAAAAAAATAAGGTAATAAAATTTGTAAATTTTGCATAAATCATTATAATTTTCAATTAAAAAATTATACAAAATTGTACATAAAAAAATAAAATTAAGCCTGACAATAAAAATTGATAGATTTGTGTAAATCCTTGTATTTTCAATTCATTTTTTTTACAAAATGAAAATGAAATTCATCTTCTGTACATAACATAATAAAACAGAAAGAAAAATTACAAGGTACAACTATGTTATACATGATTAAGGTTGTCAAAACGGCCCGTTGTTCGCAAACAGCTCGCATTTGGCTCATTAAGAAGCTCGTTGTTCGATTCGTTAAGAAGCTCGTTCGCTAAGTTAATGAGTCGAACACGGACAAAGATTTGTTCGTTCGTATTCGGCTCGTTTTGGCTTGAAATACCACTAATTAATTATCTCTCTCTCTCTCTCTCTCTCTCTCTTATATATATATCTTTGATGAGTAGTATTTTTAAAAAATTTAATTGACTAAAAAGGCTACAAAGATTTATAATCAATTAAAAATATTAATTAAGAAAATATAATAAAAATTATTAAATTAGATTCAAATGATGTTTTAATATGAACAATAATTTTGAAATCTTACCTCAATTCTTAACATCTTATGACTACGTACTTAGGGTTGTCCTTTTTGTTCGTGAACGGCTCCCGCTCCGCTCCCCCCAGCAAAAAAAAGCAAACAAGCCGAACACGAACACACTTTTTGAGCTCGAAACATAAACGAGCCGAAGGCTCAGCTCGTGTTCGACTCGTTTACACCCCTATGCATGATTGTGTTGAAGAAAAAAAGAAGCCAAAATTTCAAAAATACAATGAAGTATAACATAGTTGCACTCAAAATAAAAAGGAAACAAGGAACTAAAAAATGACATTAATGCCTAAATTGTTGTGTTTTCACTTCAACTTTTATATAAAATACAATGAAAATTCATATCTGTACATAACACAATAAAAATAGAGGACAAACAAACGACTTCGTACATCCATGTACAACATGATTATAATAAAGAAGAGAAGAACAAGAAAAAAATTTCACAATTGTAAGTTCTACAACAGAAAGAAAGAAAATAAGAACTAAAAAAAGGAATATCTAAATAAATCATTATGTTTTCGATTCAAAATTTATCGAAAATACAAAGAAAATATAATTTTTGTATATAAAACAAGATAAACAGGAAAAAATACTTCGTACAATCATGTACAATGTTATTGTACAAAAGAAAAAAAAATGCCATAACAAAAAATCAAAGGTACAGACATGTATAACATACAAGAATGGAAAGAAAGGAAATAGAGAGCAAAACAAAAGGTATATTTGAATAAATCCTTAAGTTTTCAAATCGAGTTTTATCCAAAGTGCAAATGAAACTCATTTATATATACATAACTAGAAAAATAGAGAAAAAAATACTCGGTACAACCATGTATAACATTGTTGTACAAAAGAAAACAAGTCAGAAAAACATCAAAGATACAACCATGTACATGAGAAAAAAAAAACAGAGAAGTAAAAAATGGTGTATATGAATAAATCATTATGTTTTTAATTTAAGATTTATTGAAAATGTAAATGAAATACATTTTTATATAAAAAAAGTGGACAAGAAAAAAAAATACTTAGTACAACCATGTACAATTTTGTTGTATTGACTAAAAAAAAAAGCCATGGCAAAAAAAAATCAAAGTATTGCCTCATACAACATTTTTGTACAAGAGCAAAAGAAGAACCAAGCAACATTTACTTTTTATTAGAAAAAGATATATAGCATCAAAAGAAAAAAAAATCATTTTATTCAGTCAGAAATAAAAAATTAAAAAAAAAAATGATAACGAATGGGTCACATTTGCAATCATTTTTATGGATTTATTTACGGAAGAAGAATGAGAATTATCAGAGACACGAATGTTGTATGTTATATTTTGAATCCTACGAGAATCCAAACATTTTCTTCGTCGTTAAGCTGGGAGACAACCTGAAGATTGGAACTCTAGAATGAAAGAAAGTTAGAAAGCAAAAATAAAGGAATAAAACGAAGAGTAGGAGAAAATGTCGAAACCTAACCTTGGTTCAATGTAGGAATTTAGGCTGTGGAGGAGAAAATGTCAAACTCAAACCTTAGAAAAACTCTAGGAATGTTGAGCATAGGAGAGCGTAGAAGAGAAAATCTCGATCTAAGAATCGGGAACGCTGAATGATCCCAGGCACTAAAAGCCTCTATCTCAGGAAAAATTATTGCATACGGACACCGATGCATGCGGCGTCTGATCCTGACCGTATATCACGGTGATCTACGGTCAGGATGTATTTTGGTTTTTATTTTTAAGAAAAAACTTTAGGTGGGGCCTACAGAAATACATCATGATCATAAATCACCGTGATTTACGGCCATGATCGGACCGTATGCAATAATTTTTCCTATCTCAACACTTTAATATTTAATATTTTCTTCTAGTCGGGTCGAGTCTAACAGCAGAGTTTCTTAGAATATTTTACAAAAAATAATTTTAAAAATTTTTGGACATGCGGAAGTTCGGACTGGCTTCCACAGCAGTGCGTTATCCGCACGCAATATCTTCTCCTACAAGCGACAGTTGTGTTGGCAAGCAAAATGTCACAACGACGGTTGAGCGGCTAGAGTGTACAGGCCAAACGGTCGACTGAGGGAGCAGGGGTGACAATACCGTATGAGCAACATCTACGGGTGGTTGCGATAGCTCCAAATTGTAAGAATTTGAAACTCAACCATCTCTAATGAATTCAAAATACACCAGCAATAAACTAGAGTCAGAGTTTAGAATCCCACAAAATTTTATTCCGCCTTCCATTTACTTCAATCCAAATATCACAATTCTATCAACCTATGCCATCTAAATAAAGACCACTCATTTTGCATTCAATCAAATGACCCTCAGAACTATTTCATCATTAAAATGAACAATTACTCAATGATAATCGGCTCGAAAGATAGGAACTTGATGCTGATAAAATCCAATACTTAAAAAGATGGATGGCAAAATCAAAGAAAAAAATTTAGAAAGTTAAGTTTAGGAGTTAAGAAGTCAGACCTTCATGCTTAAATAACTACATCATACCAAACGTTTTGTCTTGGTCCCATGGAGCTCTGAGTTTTTCAAAATTTTGGGTTTGAAAAATTTGTGGAGATGCAGCTTTCAGGACTTTTTGGTGCAGAAGGAGATGATGAGAGTCTTGACGATTTGGGCAATAAAAGAGGAGATGGCGCTGGCTTTGACAGTTCTGGCAAGGAAAGAAATTTCAGAGTTTCAGAAGCTTGGACTTATGATAGAATAGATGAATTGCTCTGATATAGTTAAAATTTGATAAATAGGCTAACATTTAGAATAAAAATATATTGATATTTAATCTTAAAATATAATAAATGTTAAATTATGATTTAAATGATATAATAACAATATAATAATAATTTTATTTCTATCAATTTAATATAGAATATTCTCATTTATGTTACTCTACTTTTCAATATTATGAATATAATACTAAATCAATATTTTGAATAATTATATTTTAATTACTTATAAATTTTTCATTTAGAGTTTGTAATGTCAGCCATCTAATCCAAATAAAATATTAGATTCATTAAACATTGTTCCTATTCACTTAGTTTCTCGGTTCAACTCTAATTTTGGTCATGATTCTATGCATAAGAGGTTTTGAATCTTTACCAAGCTGATTGAAAGACATGCTCAAGGTTGAACCGGTCAAGCTAATCAGTTCGATCTAATTTCTAAAACCATGATTCCACGGGCAATTCTTAATATAATGAAAATGAGATCACTATCGTTCGATCGTCGTCATCCAAGCGGCATCAGCCGATTCTCATCTTCTAATAAATATCACCTAATAGTCATCATCAACTACAAAATATTGAGCATCCCAAGTTATTAATGATCTATATTGTTAAGCTTTTCTATCATTTGGCCTTATATTTAATTATGTGAACAACTTAAACTACTCATGATATTTTCATGTACATCCTCTATTACAGTAGTAAAAATTCTATATTTGTATTAGTTTTTGGAATTTAGAATCCAAGAATCATTCGAATCACTACCATTGTGCAATTATTAAGCTTCTCAGTCTCCCCCACTCCACCTTCTGCCATGGAGGACATCTCCATCTTCTCCTATTGCGAGCCGCCCAAATCTCTCTCTGCCATCCTCACCACCTACAACCACACCAGAAGGGTGCAATGTGCTGCATAGGCCCCGTCGAATTCCTTTCAAACCATCGTCTTGCCTTCTTCCCAGATGTTCGGGCTGATTAGGCCCGAGCACTAGCTCTTCTGGTCGGGCTATGAACGTGAAGATGAAGATGACGGTCGGGAAGAAAAACTGCAGGAAAGAATTTAGGGATGATGGGGTGGGACGGTTCAAAGAGATCATCACTATCATTCGATCGTCATCATCCAAACATCATCATTATCACCTAATTGTCATCATTATTTACCATCAAGATTAATATTATGCTTACGTGGTTTTGTGTGGAAATGATGACGACAATTAGGTGATAATGATGATGTTTGGACGACGATACCTATAGATTATTAACCACCGGCTTTTATATCAACCACAATGTATTGAGAATCTCAACATACTACAAATATAATAACATGATTAATAATCTATATTGTTGAAGCTCCTCTAACATGTGGCCTGATATTTGATAGCGTGAATCCTATAAACTCCTCGTGATATTTTATCCTATATTCTCCATCACATGAGAAAATAGTAGGCCACTGCACTTACCTAATATTTTGGCTACCATAGTCTTCAGAAATTAAAGCGAAAAAATTAATAAAAATTTAATGAGGTTTGGCAAAATTGCATACGTCATCGGAAGCAGCGCGGCGGCTTTCTTTCAATTCCAAAAAAGGGTACAGTCATTGTTACAAACAGGTCTATATATAACCCTAGAGAAAACTCTGAGTACAATATGTAATTTCCAAATTACCCATGTACTGTACCGAGCGGTGTTGCCCCCACTCCCCCAACCCACATAACGAAACTCCCTCGCTCCGCTCCACTGTTTGCCCCGTTCTGCTTCAGCATTTGTCCCTTATATGATATATGAGACATACCTGACAAATCTCCCCCATTGTGATAGTCCGAGTCATACCTAACACATATAACTACAACATCATGTGGGACCAATTATTGCTGTCACCAGCCAATAATTCAGCACTAAAAATTCTATATAGGTTTTAGTTTTTGGAATTAAAATCCAAAAACAATCAGAACGCTAACATGGACGGCATCTTCATCTTCTCTTGCTCGGCACTCATCCTTTCCTTCCTCATAACCAAACTAATAACATACAACAGCAGGAACAACAGGAAGAATCTCCCTCCAAGCCCTCCTAATTCCCTCCCCATCCTCGGCCACCTCTACCTCCTCAAGCCAACCCCAAGCTCGTCTTGCATCCCAACACGGACCGATTCTCCTCCTCCGCTTCGGAATCCGCGACGTTCTGGTCGTCTCTTCCGCCTCCCTCGCCGAAGAATGCTTCACCACCAATGACCTCTCATTCGCCAATCGCCCCAAATTTCCCTCCTCCAAACTCAACACCTACGACCACTCCAGCCTCGGATCCGCCCCCTACGGCCCTCAATGGCGCGATATGCGTCGCATAGCCACCATCGAAGGCTTTACGGGGCACCGGCTCGCCTTCTTCTCCCATGTTCGGGCGGATGAGGCCCGATCTTTAGCCCGTCAACTGTTTCGTGACTCCATTCATGAAGATTTCGCCCGGGTGGAGCTCCGACCACGGCTTTTCGGTCTGACGCTAAACGTGATAATGAAGATGATATTCGGAAAGAGATACTATGGCGAAGAATCTAGAGACGGCGAGGCACGAAGGGTTAAGGG